TAAATGTTAAGGTAAGGGGCGTGTTTTATGAAGTCAAAGAGTGGGAATGGGTGACTTTTTTCTCAGAAACAGAAATCTTACCGCCTTTATCAGGGTGATGATGAATTGGGAAAGACTGTGGTAAGCGAAAACGTTAAAATTTGCAAGTTTAGAGAAGAAAGTTTCGGTGAAAGAGGATGTGCAAACGTCGGCGACACCAGGTGGTTCGAATAAGGCTCAAAATGACGTCGAAAATGGTGGTGGAAGCGGTGGTTCAGAGCGGAAAGCCACGTCTACGCCACAACCCGAAGGCATTGACCAGTCTTCAGTGACCGGTGTGTCTTTTTTTGCTTTTCCATTCAGTATTTGCATGCTCCAATATTTTGCTCCTTTGTGTTCCTTGTCGCTCAAATGGAGTAAACAGAGACAGGGAAGGTGATTACTAGAGAAAAAAAAACAGTTTTCGAAAGCCTAAAATTTTTGGGGCATTCTTAGAAATCACTCAGCAATATGTCGGCAAGTTGAGGCTTATGCAGCGCTGAAGTCCACATGGGGAACAAGAACTCTGTTTTCAGAGTTCGAGCCACTTCCCTTGTCATCTCTTTCTTGTAGCATGTCTTACTTGTTAGCACTTTACTTTCATTTCCACTTCGCGACCTATTTATCCGTCTGCCTTCGAAGATTAAACATTGCAATGAGGTAACAGAGTGTTGGGTAAAGGGAATTTAAAATCAGACGTACCATAAGAATTGGAGAAAAAGGGTGCTGAACATGTTTGTCTAACAAGTAACCCGTGGAATCAAGGTCCAGCATTCCTTGGAGTATCCTCGGTTTGAGGGGGAGGTAGTATTCAGTGTAATTCTTGTTATTGTTTCACCTTGGAAATCGTGGGAGCACTCTGTCAAGAGTTTGTTGAAGGTGGATGCTGAGGTGGAGATAGGGTTGCCTATGTGCTCGAAATCTCTTTTTTAAGCATGAGAAAAAGAAACAAAAATGTGTGATAGCTCACATTTTTGCGGCGCTCGTCCAGGAAGGGGGGCATAGCGATTTAGAGCATTTCGAATCGTGGAAGGCATATTCTTTCATTGTTAAAACGTTCAGGACTAAGCCTTACAAGGGAAGGAGCCCCCGGTCCGTGAGCAATCTTGGTTTTCCCCGGGGGACTTCCTCCCCCTCCTAGGCTTAGTCCTGACCTGCTGACTAGGTGAATATTACTTTTCGTAGACGTTAATGTCATCTAGTACAAGAATACATACATTACACAAAACACCTGAAGAAATAACATAGGAAAAAAGCTGATAGCAGCTCGTAACTTTAAAGGACTCCTTGAGCCAAATTGGCATTAGAGCAGACCGTGCACCGCAATGCCCCCTCTTACCGGATGAGACCCCCTTTTTCTTCTAGAAGGAGTCATATAGTTTTAGTAATTTACTCCCTGTTTACGGAAAGTTGTTATCGTGGCTCTCTATGACCACTACTCGGGCGATTATTCCACCACGTCAAGCTGACTTCTTTCTCCAAGCACTCCTGATGCGGTGAGTTTTTTCTTCATTTAGACGTGAATAAATGGAGAGCCTATATGAATTAAGGGGTCGTAAGAGTTTCAAATTGAACGTTATTGTATTTAGACACAAATTGTACACATCACTCTTATTTTATCTTTTCTCTCGCACATGTTGATTCCTCAACACTACAAGCGTGAAGAATTCAAAGTTCATCATTCTTTTGGGGTGCACCCCGCATTCTACTTCCTTGCAAAATCATATAGAGTATTATGAATGCAAGGTGGTGTATACGACTTCCGTGTGCTGCCATTTATGAATTGGTATTTTTGTCCTCCAAGACAAGGTTTGTTCAATCATCCGACATCAAAGCGATAGAAGGCTTGGTTGACGTGAACGGCGCACGATAATATTATAGATTTGATCCCATGACGCTCGAGTGACAAGTGGCGCCAGTGCCATTGTACTATTTCTGCTCTTCCTCTACTTAAAGACAAGATTCAGGATAAAATAGGTGTGGAAAAGCGTTCAGTTATGAAGCTATAGGTGGGAGGTGGTCTGTAAAAGAGAAGGAAAGCAAACGAAACCACCGATTACGCCCCGTACAGAGACCTCCCCTATTTCAGCCACATTCCACCTTGGGATAGAGAAGAGGCGAATTGGACGAGTTTCACGAACCTAACTCTACTTGCTCCAGTGTCAATAACATTGGATCGCGCTGGGACCACTGCCTCAAATGCGCCCGCGCTTTTCAAGCAGCGCCACGTGGCAACCGACAGCGAAGGGTGGGGCTTGCGGACGAAGGTGTGTTTGCGGGTTGGACGAGCTCCTTGCGCCTTTGTCGCGTACTTTCAAGCCGCAAAAGGGGCCCGACATCAACACTTGTCCACCTGCCTACTACCCCCTGGATGGAACAGGCGAGCCCGCCTGATCGCGGAGCGTGCCTTTAATTGCCATAACTGAAATGTTCTGAGAATTTGTCAACACTGTCGTTGATTTTTACTAATTCTATGGTCTGATTCTATTTTTTGAATCCCTGTGTTCAGGTTTTGTTATAGGCACGATTCAGGATCAGGCACGCTCCCCTGCTTCATCCTCGATCGTAGTGTACAGGCGGACAAGCGTTAATGTCGCTCCCCTTTAGCGGGCTTGAATGTGCGCGGCAAAGGCGCTAGAAGCTCTCGACCCGCAATCCACACTCTCGTCTGCAAGCCCCGCCTTCCTCTGTGAGAAAAACGCGAGCGCAATTGCAGCAGTTGGTGTGGTGATGTCATGGGACTGGGCAACGCGCTATTCGGAATTCGACACGCCTCTTCTCTATCTCAGCTGAATGCGAGCAGATTAGAGCGACATTCAATTCAGGACGTCATAGTGACGCTCTTTCAGACTGACTCTAACTCCAGGTTGTCATTTATAACCCTACACACCTTATTATCCCTTGGGCTGCCTTCAGGATGCGGAATATTTTGCGCGATCTAGAGAAACTAATCAATAAAGGTTCCAAAGTTCCAACCGTGCGTGCTGCAATCGCTGCTACTCTGTCGATCGCGACCTGCGTGGTTTTTGGCGCCCTTTTGTGTTCAAGCTGCTCTCCAGTTTTTCCTCTCCTCGTAGCGCTTTGTCTTCCGTCATACCGGGCCGATCCACAAGGAACATTTCAGTGTTTTCAATGTCACTTTCTGCTTTTCTAACCGCTGCAGTTCCTCATTCTTGTGCAATTTCCAAACAGAAACACCAATATACGATCTTCCGTTCCTGTAGGTCGTTTTTCAGAAGCCGGACACAATTGAGGGAAGTCTTAGAGATGCGCTTCATGGATACCTCGATTCTGATGGTAGTGTCAAAGTGAGCCCGTTTCTTCCCATTTCCCCTTTTTCTTGTTGAAGGCATGTCTTGAATGTAACACTTTGACACTCATTGTTATAGTCGAAACCAATCAAAAGAGAGTCTGGCAGTGGTGCAACCTTGTTCGACGATCTTCCTCAACGGATTGTAAAGAACATGGTGAAGCAGAACACCATTCCTCCAGTGGATATCAGTCACATCGAAGGCGCAAAGGGATATCCGTGAGTTTCACAGTCGATATACCTCATATCTAGAAGTCATCCCATCACTATCAGTAGCAATCGTCAATTGTCTGCATAACTTTATTTAGATGCAATTTCTGCGAATTCAAAGGACGTACTGTGAATGACATCCGTAGGCATACTAGTTCAGCGCATTCTGAGTTTTTCCCATCATTGGGTACGAAATTAGTTTCTCCTTGTCATCATTGTAATCAGGTACGTTGCTATTCTTTGTTGTTCTGGTGTTGATGATGTACACTGTTGATGGAGCACGCTTTTAGGTATTGGATTCACGGGGAAAACTGCTGAAGCATATCGGTGACTGCCATGAAGATATACCATTAGCGTTCAAGTGAGTGCATGGAATATTGGTGGGAGTTAAAATCAGTGGTTATTCTCTTCATTAACCAAAATATTGTGTTAATCGAGGAGTGATTAGCAGGATGAAGGTTGCATTGAGGAAAAGACCGTTACAGTGGACTCCCTTTAACTCTTTAACGGCGAGTTTACACACAGCGGGCTCGTGGACCACGTCTCCTTCTCGCGCATCCAACTTCCGCTTAACATAAAAAAGGATAAAGCATTTGCCTGATCAATCCCCTTTTGGGATGCGGCACGCATTCTACTTCATTTGTAGGTTTGTAGGGGAGACGGTCAATTCAATCGTCGGCTAATGAGTCACTGCCGCTCGCGCGGCGAGAATCGCCGCGCGCGGCAGTTGCTGCGGCGATTTCTGTGTGGACCTTTTCTTAGCCATCCATATCCACAAGTTGGCTAGGTGACTGATAAGACCAGAGTGCTAGACATCAGTAAGCCAGCAAGCGTCACCTCAAGATCGATCGGTATCTTCTTACTGCCACGACAACTCCTCGGATTTTCACCTTTGTACGGATTATTTCCATCATAACCTACGCAAGGGCGGAAGTGGTGTAGTGGCAAGTGGCACGCTTACCACGCGGTCCGGGGATCAAATCCTGGGTCGTGAGTCGCCCGGGCCAACCAAGCCTTCCATCCCTCCGGGGTCGGTTAATTGGTACCAGACTTGTCTGGGAGGATAAAAACACTGACTTGTACATCGGCTGGCCCCCGCAAGTCATTGTATAGGCCACATCGCATTCAAACGCCACTACGAATGTACAAATGGAAGTAGAATGCGTGCCGCATCCCAAAAAGGGATTGATCAACGGCAAATGCTTTATCCTTTATCCTTTATTGCCATAATTATCTTATCATTAGAAACCTCTTAAAAGGTCACCTTTCCGTGTCTTCCTGTGGCAACTTGTTTAAATTCTTTCCGAAATCCATTTAATCTCTTCGTGAATTGCTTACTCGGTCACTGTTAGCTAGTATCTAAGCTTTGCCTTCATTCATGTGAACGATGCGAAAAGCTGTTCTGGTTTCAGGTGTGCGTACTGCCCGAAAACGTTCGCCACATCTCGCGGTGTGCGCGAGCATGAACGGCGATCACATGAATCACGTTTGTTCCTAGATGCGGAGCATTTGGTTTGCCCGCATTGTGAGCAGGAGTTCCAGAACAAACGAAATCGAGATGAACACGTAAAGAGGCACAATAATCCCAACTCTGTGATTGGCCGTGGATTTTAAATGGTCTGAAGTCTTTTTTCGACAACTAGGAGCCCTATTCGCCTGTATTTAATAATGTGCTGTTTTTCGTGTCGCCATATTGCATAGCTCCAAAGATATTTGGCGTTTTATTCATCACCCAAGTGATCAGTGGTTTTAGGTGCATGATAGGGAGGAGTAATGATCCTTTCAATCGAATTTTGTGATTTCCTGACCATTGAAAAGTATACTGGAGCCTGATGATCTGTGTCAGGTTAATTTTGCGTTTTAATGCTATTCTACTTAGCTGTCATCTCGAGAAGGAACATTAAGTTCTTTGCTGTGAGGTCGCATTGAAGTGTACCTTGTGCTTCTTCGACCATCGCCTTGATCTCCTCCGCTATTCCATAGTACGGCCACTTTTATCTGACTATCAGTGGCTTTTTACAGTATTTTGTTTTATGAGAAGTTTTTGTTTTGTTTCACAGTTATAATTGTCGATGATAAGACCTAGTCGCCCCTTCTAAGGGTTGGACCTATAATGTGATTCACTTTCCAAGAAGCATACTGGCCCTTGTTCCGCTAACACTCGCTTTAACTGCGCATTTATTTATTCTTTGTATTGTATTGTCCATAGCTTACAAGTCATCGTTTTATCTAACTGTTCGCTTTAGGCTGCCTACAATTATGAAAAACCTTATATAACCAATTTTCGTGAATATTCCAGGCATTCTTTATGTAATCCTTGTTATGCATATTATTGATGTTGTTAATACCCTTTGTTAAACTATGACATGAACATGGAGTAATAGAAACCCAGCTTTGTACAGTGGTCCTACCGATTGGGCAATGAATATGGATTTGTCGGTGTCATCGGTTGGGTAAACTTTGCTGCAAGCACCTTCTTCGAAGACGTTGACGTTGAAAATGTGGCTTCACAGAAACAACACTTTCCTCGTCCAATTCACGGGCAAGGTCCGGGCTCAGGCTCGTTGAAATGGTCGGTCCCGTGCATAGAAATGTGTGGTCTATCACTGCAGAGGTCGTGCCACCTTCGCTTATCGAAAACGCTTCACTATAAACTGCCCCTGCGCTGAAGCGCTTACGCATCCACCGAAAGCCCTGGTACGTCCCACCGTTCGGTGTCTTATCCGTGGTCTCGCACTGCTGGATCTGCTATCCATCTCATAGCGACATCTAGTTCTAATCCCTCTACTCACGAAACGCGTCTACTACTCTCATTCGCATACCTGCGCCGCATGGACTTCCGCAGCACCCCCAGCAAATAGCCTGCATAGTTTCCTGGTTCTCTTCCACGTCCTTCTACTACTTCATTTGATTTTCTATCTTTTGCACTCCACTCCACCCCCCCCCCCCATCTTTGCATATTTGAGTGAGACTATTTCATCAAGTTGATCCTGATCCCCGCCTCTAGTGTTGCACTTCTTGGTCAGCTTCAAGCAGTGCCATTGGTCAAAGATTCTGAATCGTAAAAGCTTCTACTGTGTTACATTTCAAGATGAGGAACAAAATATTGCGATTCTGCCGTTGGATAGTTTTTTTTTTGATTTCAAATGTTGAAACGCCTTCGTTCCTGAAGTGTTCCAACTCAATGCTAAGATGTACGGGCTGGTGCTATTCGACTTTCATCACCGACTCGAGTTCCTTAAAGGACGAATTCACGATCAGAGGGAAAATCGAATTAGGAAGAATTCACCTGGTTGAGGGACCCGCGGAGCTCCTAAGTGTGCGAACTGAAGCACAATTTGCACAGGAGGAGTTGACCTCGTTGACCTATTAAGGTTTAATCCCGCCGCGGCTGGTCAGTGCACGCCCACCGATCATCTGATCACTCGCCGCAGGTCTATACGTGGTGAGTGATTAGATAGGTGAGAGAGCGTAGCGTTGAAGAGGGCACAGCGATGATAGTCGCATCAATGCTCAAATCAACGGGCAAGGAAGTGGTCCCATTTCTCAGGTTCTGGGCCGTTTCGCATGGTTTTTCCTTCTTTAGTGTACCACTCACCATCGCTAACTTAATTTGAAATGGGTTGCCTTTCCAGCGTGAATTCGTCCTTTAACGGGATATAGCTGCTGGTAAGGTCGTACATTATGTGATTTCACTCTTACGTCGTTCTGTGCTTAAACTCTCTAATGCTTGTCGTTTTTCGCATTCTTCGTCTCATCGATAACTTGTCGCCACAGTAGCCCCAATATAGGCCCACATTGCATTTGTCCAATTAACTTTGAAGATACGCTAGGCTGGACGATGTACCTTTCACCCAGCTTTTCCCTTTCGTTCGCCATTGATTCAATACGTCCTCCACACGTTCTACTTTGCAAAACCGTTTTTACGACACCTCGCCACTCTCCTCTGCATGTTTTCATGCGACCCCTCTTTCAAACAACTTATTACCCAAAAAAATCCCGTCCCCCGAGCGGGAGGGGGGGTCGCTATCTGAGCACGCTGCTCAAGCAACGTCTCTGAACATCAATCTGCTATTCCGTCCAACTAGAGGATTTGATTATGCAATGCTTACCTAACCCGCCTTCCACGTCTCCCTGCTTAGCGAGGGGGGGGTGATAATGTATTTAAGTCACCATTTCATAGATACCTCGGGGGGGGGGCGGACAGTTGTTCATTGGTTTCTAGCAAGAGGTGAACTCTGATTGAGTTTAGCTTGTATTTGTGTTATGGTTGGGTTACGAGCGGATTGGTGTGAACTTTAGAAGGAAGTCTTTTTCATCGAGACGGTCTTGAGAAACACTTTAATTGGCAGTAAACTCTTTTGAACGATGAGAGAATGGCTGAGGCCATCTAAGATGGCCGAGCTAACTTGACCGTTTCGGAGAGTCATTTCGAAATAGGCACAAGGCTGAACAGAGATGACCTTCATGTGTTTTCTCAGAAAAGTGCAACTTGCTCGAAATCAAACATGAAATTGAATCAGTCTGGTGACAAGGACAATGCGAGGCGAATAACTGAACCTACTAGACAACAGTGAGCACTGGGCAGTGCAATAGTTAGATTGTACACATTACATAAAATAATTTAAGTGAGAGTTTGGTACACCGTGAATGGTGGGAATCGAGAATCAGAGCGGAAGACGATGATGGTGATAAGCAGGATGGAAACAGCCAACGAGGGGCAAAAGTAGTCATGGCAATGTTGATGTCTCCAACCTTCAAAGCTGTCAGTACAACCTACGAGATGACGCCGACGAAGCACGAACCCTTCCTTTTCCAAGCCTCGGCTTGGATTTTTACTTTGCTCCAAATGCTAATGGATAAGAAGCTCAGGGTTTCCGATCAAGAGCGCGCAGAGGTCGAGCTCTCGTGACGTCAGCTCATGGCTTATCGTTACTAACTGGGCTGTGGTCGTGAGAAAATGCTGAAAAGACTGGCAAGCTAAAATTGAACAGCACTATACATTTGAAAAAAAGAGCTCAGATATTGAAATCTATTAGATCCTCCGAGAACTGAGAGAGAAAATAAATACGAAACTAAGGCAGGATGGATCAAGGAAAGTCAATGTTCACAACAACTATGTAACTTTCAAAAGGAAATAAATTAGCTAAATGAAGTTACAGCTTTCATCAGCACTACAGTAATAAGTGATATGTTGAGTGACGTGATACTTTTCAATCAAATACTGCTTCTGACAGCCTGTTTCAGCACCAAGCCGTGTGCTCGCAAAGCTTCTGATCCACTGGATAGCTTCGATCGAAGAACACTCCATTCACGTACATCGTTGGCCATATCTAAAGAAAGGCCACGTTAATACTTTGCCACACCATCAAAAGATGTTGCGTAGACGTGCAGTGTCTAAAGCATAAAGCACTGGGCATTCGGCGTCGATCAATCCCTCTTGGGATGCGGCACGCATTCTACTTCCATTTGAATTCGTAGTGGCGTTTGAATGCGATGTGGCCTATACAATGACTTGCGGGGCCAGCCGATGTACAAGTCAGTGTTTTTATCCTCCCAGACAAGTCTGGTACCAATTAACCGACCCCGGAGGGATGGAAGGCTTGGTTGTTTCGGACGATGTTTGATCCTCCGCAACGGCGCGTGGTAAGCAACATCACACTTCCTGGTCAAGTAGGCGCGGTATCGCACTCGAAAATGATAGCGGAAGTAGAAGATGGACCGCTAGCGGACAAAGAAGGATGGAAATACTTCAATCCTACCCATGACGGAGATTAACCCACCTGAGCTTAAAGTGGGTTGCCCTTGAGAAGCAGACTGCAGGCTTGCTAAGTGCAGCCAAACCGTGGAACTGCTTATCTCACCATCAAATCGTCCAAGAGCGCTAATTGAAGTGATGATTTTTCTCGCAATTTCGGGCCCCCTATTCAGGGCGATTCGAGAAGTAACGGACCAAATGAAAGATCCCGACCTCAGAGCCTCTATATTTAATGCTTCAGTGTTACCAGCAATGTGTTATGCCACTGAAACATGGCCTGAGAACAAGACGATAGCCAAAGCCATGCAAACAATACATCGAGGGCTAGAAAGATGTTTCCTGAAAGTTAGTCGACATCAGCAATGGAGACAGAGCCTACGAAGTTCAGAATTAAGAGAGAGATCACACCTGAAAGATCCCCTGCAGTACATGGCACAATCGAAACATCGTTGGGCTGGTCATTTACTTCGCCGAGACGATGACAGATGGAGCCTCCGAGTCACTGAATGGCTCCCAAGAAACAAAACAAGACCGCTAGGACGACCGCAAACCCGGTGGGCCGACTCGTTTTCAAAGTATTTCAGACAACGCGGTCTACACTGGATGCAAGTTGCCAGAAACCGGGAAGCATGGAAGAGCTGTGGTCCCCGCTGAGAAGATCGCCAGCTGAAGGACTATCAAAGTATCAAATAAGTAAGAGCATTCAGGGCTAGCATTACTGATGGAACTCACTTTTATTCCCGCTCGATGTGTGTTCACCATGGAATAGTAGTTCAGTAGCTCACCAGTTTGTGTAGTGGCGCATTCAATCAGTTTCCTGTAAGTGATCGTTTGAATAATGGCTAGAAAAAAATTAGGCTGTTCTTCGTCACTGAATCCGAGTACCTTTGTGTCCGTACGGAGAGTCGACTCAAACAACGACTGAAAGCTTCACGAAGTGTGGTCAATCCTTGAATGCATGTGATGAGACCCAGATGACGACGAGGGAAGTACTGTAATAAGGAAACGATCCAGAAGTGGAATGAATCAAAGCGAAAACCTGGAAACTCACGGAAATCGCACAGTTTTGAAGTCGATTCAGATCGCATTCGGTCGGTCCATGCATGCACTGGCAGTGGAAATTTCTGTTGTAGTCATATTCACAGTTTCCTTTGCCGAACGGGATCACCTAAATTCCATCGTTCACAAAACAATCCATACATTTGCACTTGTTTGTGGTGATGGGCCTGTTCTGCTCTGCTTCAATTGAACTGGCACCACAATTTCACCGAAGTTGGTCAAAAAGCAGTTTTCAGATATGGAGCTGATCAAAACATTATTATTGGGTTGTTCAGAAGGTTTTCAGTAGCTCAATTTTAAACGCTTTCCTCCTGAACAGTGGAGACTGCTATACGAAGTTATTACGGATTGCGTCCTTGATACCGCTGAAAAGGTTAAAGACCTGGGATTCATTATTGATCCAAAGCTTAGTTTTGAGGAGCATCTAAAGGATATTGTGGCTAAGGCTAACCAAAGAGTTTTTCTCTTGTTCAAATCTCTCAAAAGCAGAAATCCCATTACGCTCGTCAGAGCATATAAAGTCTATGTACGTTCCGTTTTAGAATACGGTACTTGCATCTATTTCCCTCACAGCAGAACCCTCCTTAGTATGTTGGAAAAGGTCCAGAATAACTTCTCGAGGAAACTATTCTTAAGAACTCTAGGGTTCACATACAGGAGCATCCCACGTGGGTTCATCAGAAACAAAATGCTTGGTTTGGACCCTGTACAATTAAGGCTGAAGAGGAATGACTTACTCATGGTGTACAATATCCTTTCTAGTCGTGCCCATCTCAACTGTCACAACTTTTATAATCTGGTCCCATCCAAGACTAGGGGTGAGAGGTTCAAGCTTACTTTTCGACAGCCGCGTTCTTCGTTCGGGCGCAGGTTCTTTACGTTCCGAGCGGGTATGGAGTACTTGAAAATGAGCAAAAAAGTTCAAATACCAGGCTTCTTTTCTGCATTCAAAACCAAGGTATCTCATTATCTAAATTCCGTTCAGTAACATTAGTGTGTTTTTTTTTCAATTGGTTTCGTTCGCCTATGTTGTCAAGAATTTCGTTTTCATCGTTTTATCCTATTGTTCTTTTTTAGACTTGTTGATGTTTTCACATGCGTGTAGCATGTAATAAAGCATACATTATACGAAGTTATCCTTCCTAAATTTGCTGTTATTTTTACAGTGGATTATTTTCCGCTTTTCCAAAGTCTTTAATTTATACTCAACAGGCTACTCCTACGAATTTCTTGTACCCCCTCCAATTTGGCCGGAAAAGTGCGGAAGCAGGTTGTGATACCAACTGATTCTTGGTTCCGAATCCAGAAAAAAGCGCTGCGCGGTCGTGATTCGAAACGTCACTCTTGCGATGGTAGAAAGCTTCGAAGTAGGGTGGTGGTCTGCTATCGGAAAGTGCCGAAGATTAATTAGGTTTTGACAAACCAAAAGTTTGCGTGAAGGGCTGTGAGAGCTCGCTTCTGATGATGACCGTGTAACGAAAGTGTTCCCAAGCAAAAAGGTAATGGAGAAAGACAGAAGATAAGTGATAGATGGCTGCCGCTGACTCTTCTAACCGCTGTTGCACAACCTCTCTCGCACTATCAATCCTGCACAAGTTGAACTAGCTGAGCCACGAAACTGTCCTGCATATTCCCCACAGCAGCTGCCTATAACTGCTAGTTATAGTGCTAAATAACTGCTAGTTTCCCAATCATCCAGATAATCTTCGAAGAGATTGAGCCTCAAAACCTAACTTGATTGTGGAACGACTTTTACTGAATTGTTCGCTTACAGACTTTAAAGACACTTTCAGAACCCGGACCAAATAAAGTTTCTCATCGTTAGCAAATGTATTTGAATTGTAAAGTTTTATTTCGGTCAAAATTGCTTCGCTTTGAACCGAGATATGATGAACTTTTTGAATTTTAGCCTCAAATCAGGGAAACCCGAACAACTAAGTATTTCGAGCTAACATTTCCTGGCCGTGAATGGAGAACACTAAACGAGTGGATTTGTTCCTTGGCCTATTTTGAGGCGAAAACACGCTGGCGATTTTCAGGAACCTACGATAATATAGCTGACAATTAGGCGGAGTTTAGGGATTAGAAGGCAGGCTATTAGAATCAGGGTGGAGGTGGTAAGTGGTGTCGACACGAGGAAAAAATCATAAGAAACGGCAAAAAACCCGAGAATTAGCTACCCTTTTTTCCCGTTGATTTCCGCATTGATGCAGTTCTCATCGGTGCTGCCCTCTTCAACGCTAACGCTCTCTCTGCTAAACGGCTAGAGACCTGCGGCGAGTGGTTAGCCAGTCGGTGGGCGTGCCGCGCCGACAGCGCCGCAGGACGACCATGCTAAATCGCTAGGGACATATGCTTCGCTCGATTTGCGTGTCGGCCCGCACCCTTAGGGTTCTGCCTGTCTCTTCTTCCACCCTCTAACTTATCATGGAATACTCCTTCAAGTGCTTTGCCCCACGATTCCTCACCCCCTCCCCACCTCCCTTCATCTCCAAATTGCTCCTAAAGTGAAGTATTTTCTCAGTTATAACGTAACGCATCTTTGGGCACAATTATGCTGGATCGTCAAACGTCTTCATGATTGGCACACTAAGCTTACCCAGCGCTTTCATGAACGCTGAAAGGGTGCAACTGGCTAACGCTGGAACCAGCTGCCCTATTTGCATTCCAGCAAAAACCAGTGAGTCGTCAATGGCACCAAGAAAGTAATGGCTGCCAGGTCAGGTTTCTTTTTTTCAATGAGTCACATCCAGCTAGTTTTTGCGACTGTCTTTTGTATAGCTGAAGAATGGGATAGTTTGGTTTTTTTCATAGCAAAATCGTTTCGTCTGAGTCTAATGTGACTGGAGCTGACATTCCATCAGAAGCACTACTTCGTTGGGGCAGTAAACGGGTAAGAGTGGAACGGAAGTTGGCATTAAAGCATATCTCTCTAGTGTTTATGAGTCTTCAATTCTACCCATCTAGTTGGTTTTGCGTCGCTTATGCGATAGTTACGGAGAAAGATGAAAAAAGATGAACGAGTGTCCTTAGTAAGCCCTGAAGTCTCCTTGCAATTCGGCCTATATAAGCAATAATTATCATGAGGGATAAAGAATGACAATTAGCTGAAGGCGGAAGGCATTCACAGGTTTTTCTTTTGTAAAACCTTGAAGTATCCTTAGAAAAAAGCTTCAGAAAAATAGTCCAAGTGGTTTGCAAATCCGATCAATGCATGTCATGATAGGCTAGACTACCTATGGAACCTCTGATTGATTTCAATCTTGCTAAATAAGTTTCGGAAATTTTGAGCTGGGCATCGCATTGTCAGTGGCGATACAGAACTGGGTTATGGATATGGCAATGTCGTTAATCCTTTAGTTTGAATAAAAGACGTTGGACAAAGTCCAACGCGACGACGAGAGTAATGCCGAGTGAACGTACGCACGGAGACACAGACGGCTCGCGGGTGGCGAGAGTGAATGCCGGCGCGGAGAGCGGTCAACATCGGTCCAACGTCGCTCCAATATGGGTCCAAATTAACTTCGTAAGTGAACTGTCGCATTAGATCCTTCTAGAGGAGGTCTTTCAGGGCAAGGTGCGCTTTTTGGAAATGGTTTCTTGCATATTGTAGGGACGCATGTATGGACCACAAAACCATGTTTCGTTTTCGCTGAACGGTTTTAGTACCAAAAAAGTGGTGAATAATACTCTTGATGGTTCAATCCCCGCGGCGACTAAATTTTGCAATCAAGGTTGGCGGCCACTTGTTGGCTTCAAAATGGTCCTGACGATGAATTTGACATCTGATTTTGATATTTAGCGCGATTTGGCACCAAACCGTAGGCGCCAACCCAAATGCAAAATTTAGTCGCCACGGGGGATCGAACCCTTAACAGTACCTTATGCTTCTTTTTTGGTACTGCTATAACCGTTCAGCGAAAATGAAACATGGTTTTGCGTTCCCTACATGCGTCCCTACAATATGCACAAAACCGTTTTGAAAAAGCCCTGAAAGACCTCCCTTGTTAGAGTAAGGTAGCAGTACCGCTAATCACAAGGGTGGTGGTATTGTCAAGTGCCCAACAAGGAAGCTATCCTTTCGCTTGAGCGCTATGACCACTGCCGCTCTTATTAATTTCAGCATACCCGTTGTCTGCGCCCTCTCTTACGACGTGCTTTCTTGCCCATTCCCTCTCCTCGCAGCGCTCTGCCTCTACGTCGTACCATGGTCACCTCACAAGAAAAGGTATCAGTGTTTTCTAAGGTTTTTTTTTGCATTTTCTCTCCATTTAACTCTCCTTTTCGCACTTCTTGTCCATTTTCGAACGGGATAGCACATCACTCCGAACCTGTACCTTCGAAAGCTGAAGGTAAGAGTATGAGTCGGTTCGAGAATAGCATGAACCAGTAATCAATCATGATCAAAATCCCTCCTTCTTCACCTATTCCCTCGTGGTAAGATCTAAGTGTATTTCAAATGGAAAACCGGGTATTGCTGGGAATCACTCTTCCGAATTTATGTTTCCTCACTTATCTCTAATGAACAAAGCAGCAAGAGCAGCTGTTTTAGGGAAACCAAGTAAACCACTATTTTCATTTTTTTCTTCTTATTACTTTTTTTGAATCGAGTCGCAAGCGAACGAATTTCACAATTTCTCATGAAAAATGGGCGAAAAGAATACCGATAGAATCGCTATAAAAATCCTCTCGTTCCTAAAGATATCTGCCTATATTTCGCATTATTTTGGACGTTTCCGAAAAGCTGGCCGTCAATGGCTGGCCACTTCTATTAACACCAGTAGGTGCGCAGAGTACTGTATGGCTCTACAATGATGTAAACAGACGTCAAAATCTAAAAGGTCAGTAGAACCACAATGGCAGAAGCCCATCATGTGATTATTTGCGAAATGATATCATAAATTCATGCAGTCTTCAAGGTTCTGATGCAGTGGCTCTAAACATCTTGGCTCAAAATCAGTCCGTCGAAGGGTTTACGGCGCCATTTGGCTAGTAACCACCACCTTGATCAAGTACTGAACCTTTGGATTTTTTGAAAATGTCGTC